CGGCTGAGCTACGTTGTGTCTCGGTACCTAAGCCTGGGAATGCTGTAGAATATGCAGAGTAATTGAAGAGGAGTGGGTGATTGAAAGAAAGCGACTGTTAGCATGGGGAGAGGGTGTCAGTGTGAGAATATGTGAGCGAGTGTGGTTGGTCAGAGACATCAAAGCAAAGAGTTGAAGTTGTGGGTGGTTGGATTTCAGAGAGATAGCATCTGCCTTTCCAGCATGCTCATACTTACTGTATGCGTCTGGTGTGGTACACATAACGGCATGAGTCAGAATGTGTTTGCATGTCTGCATTTTAGCATGTGTTTGTATATGTGTGTCTTTGTGCGCGCGCACATTCCAGCTCAAAGTTCAGTAGTCTGTGCGGTGCCCCACAGTGCCCCTTGATAATCCTTTCCTAGAATGGCTGTTGCCAGGCAGAGAAATTACCCAACAGGGCGCTAATGGGACTTAATGGCACACTCATTCATAACTGTAGATTACGTGGACTGATTGCCAGTCATATGAAAGCCATAGCTTATAAGTGACACTTATTTCTTATCTTTTAAGTCATGAATCTGGCTGGTTCACTTGTCCTTAAATGGAAATAAAAAAGAAAGAAAAAAATCACTGTCAATAAATATGCTCATAAGATCATTAGACCACACTGGACATTGGAGATGCTATTTTGCAGTAATGATGAGACAGGACACGATCTGTCCAAGAGAAGGGTAATAAGATACTAGAAGAAATATCCCAGGAGTTTTTTTTTTATGATGTTTTTCATTAGTTTGGACTAACTGCTATGGTGGAATATGAGCTGTCACTTGCTAACCTCGGTGCCACAACTGTGAGAAAATGTCGCCGCCGTACAGTTAGTGTCAGAAGAAAATTACATTTTCCAATTTTACAAGAACAGAGAGGCGAGAGTGAACTGTGTGAGATATTTTAACTAAAAATAAAACGTATTGTGTGAAGACTTGGAGCGCAACGTATGTGCAATGTCTCCACAATGTCCCCACACTCAAATCATGTTCCAAGCCGTGCTCTATTAATATTAATCAGGTGATTAGCCAAAACAATAATATTTAATTAACATTTATCTGAGCTGAGTAGTGCAGCTGCCTCCAGCAGTTACAATTTCCCTATACTGAGCTTAGGCCCTTAGCATTTCCTGCACACACACACGCACACACACACACACACACACACACACACACACACACACACAGTGTAATGTGAGATACAATGCTGTCAACTGTCCTATATAGCTATAGTTCTGCTAACTGGCTGAATGACAAAATCAGTATTACAGTCATTTACCACCATGGAGGAGAACAAGCCGGACGCATTGATATTGTACTTATGTAATTGAGCTCAAATACAATTATTTCCTCCATGTCTGCTGTGACCGCGGCTACATGCAAACGACTGCTTTCTGTTTTTCTTTCTGCCTGCCTACATTACAGAGATCTTTTTTTTTTTAATCCCGAGATTGAAAAAGTATTAGTGAAAATAGGCAATTACAGTGATTCATTTATTTTTTCCCCCCTTTAGTGGAAGTTAAAACCATTTAATAGTTTACTCCCCCACTCAGTTCTTCACACAGTCCCTCCCTCATTCTTCTGGCCTTTATTTTAATTCTCTACCCATTAAGGTTAAAGAGTCATATTTCAGTGCAGTTATGCGCAAAGACTGTGAACATTATGTGGGTGCTTTTTTGAAATCTAGACTGTAAGTGTGTCTGTATGTCCCATGTGGTTGCACGTAGCTTGAAAATGAGGTTGTTTGTTTGTGTGAAGACAGCTGCTCCGTGTCCATCAGCGGCAGCACCACATTCCCTTTGGAGTCGAGTTCACTTTTACGCACCTTTACACTCTCATGCCCAGTTTCTCTTGCTTCATTACTCACCTCTTTCAAACTGTACATGTATTAAAGTTGAAGTAAAGTAGCAGGAAGTATTGCAGGAGAAGAACTTTAAGTATGTAGATTGATTAGAAAACAAAACTGGCCCCATGTGGTTACCACCAAATACATTAAACTGGCTTTTCTCTCTTAAAGAGCTGTTAGACCTTTGAGCAATTGATCAGTCTTTGAGTTTTGTTCTTTCCTCATTCTGCTGCAGACAGGAGTGATAGAAATCCCAGAGGAAACATTCGGTACTTGTCATTCAATATCACAGGAACTTATCTTAACCCATCTTTACAGAGTACAAAATGTCAACCGTCATTAACTTCAGTTGAATATGTGTTTGTACTGGCTTTACTGGGCCCTGATTTTGACCGTGGTCATCTCTGGTTTCAGTAATAGTGTTCTTTTACTGCCAGAACTTTAACAGGACAGGAAAATATGAATAAGTCTCTTTCTAGTGAAAATAAGGCCACATCCTGGTGATTTCATCAAATATAATTTTTTGAACAAAGATCCAAAATCTTTGACATATTTAGTTTATCATGAGACTGAGGAAGTTTATATAAGACCAACAGAAGCAGCAAATTCTCACAAATTTCACCAGTTGTGCTCGAAACTCTTAAAAGATTGATTGAACATGGCTCTAAACAGTTCATTGACACAAACACAAATTCTGTATTATTTCTTGTTTCGCACTGTTTGCAGCTTCTTCTGTTGCTTTGCTCCCGAAGTGTTTATGCAGCGTTAACTAGCACACAATTATCTGTACCCATGAATGGTTATTAGTAATAAGAGACGATTCTAATTAACAAAACTATCCCCATCTAAATGCAAAAAGATACTGAAAGGCATGAGGGCTATGTTAAACCCAGGTCATTTTATTTGCTTTTAGGTCCATACTGAATGTTGAAAACTCCACTGTTAGTGCAGCAGACTTCATGTCTGTGCAGTGGATATGCACAATCTGTAAATGCCAGGAGAGAAAACTCTTTAACGAGCAGTGTTAGATAGATAGTGAAAGTTCTGGGAAGAAAATGCAAAAAAAAAACATTCTGATGAGCTCTTAGTCCAAATATGTTTAATCTGAGTTATTTTTTTTCTTTAATTTCCCAATGAAAGCTGGACCTTTTTGTAATAAGCTTGTTTTTGTAATGAGGGTCATTACATATCATCTCATGTTTAACTACTTACTGAGAAACAAGGAGGTGTGTGTGTCTGTATGTCTGTTTTTTTTGTGCGTAACCCCCTTACTTTGTGTGACTCACTCCCTTTTTAAACGTGCAGCCTGGTATGTCTCCTTTCCCGGGGGATGGCCCAGATCTGACAACAGCTCGGCTACACCCCACGCAGGAAACCCATCCCACAACTAGTTGGCTGTGTACTATATATACTAGGCATGTTTGTGTGCTTTTTATGTCACAGAATTGACAATCAGTGTTTAATACAAACATGTACTCAATATGAGAAATCAGAGGAATATACCTTTCACTCACCTTTTTCCCTACTGCTATTATGAAGCAGTGCAGATAGACCATGTTACTGGTGATTACACTCGAGCAGTATTTCCTCATTAAATTGTATCGCGCTCATTTCGCACTCTGTCACCATTATTGATTTTGTCCGATTTTGTAATCTCCGTCCCCACTGAAGGCATAAGTGCCCACTTACAGTACCACAAAATGCGGCCTTAATGGCTTTTCTCTGAAATTTGTGCCAGAGGAGCCCATCTGCAGGTTCAGTCGAGGACAGGGGAGAAGCCAATCGTTTTGGATAAGTGTTTCCTTTTATGTTAGATGGATTTAATTCCAAGAAGAGTGTGAACTGAAAGAGTGGGAGGGTTTTTTTTCTTCTTCCTAAAGGTCAAAATGTTCACTCAGTTAAGGCTCCTTGCTGATTTCTCTTCGTTCCGTCTTTACCTTTGTCTGCTGCCTCCTACTTTCTTTCCTCTGTCTCCCTATTATTCAGCCTCTCTCTGTACCTACAGCCCGACTGTGTCTGCCTCACTGTGTTCGGAACCTTCTTACACCTTTCTTCCTGTCTGTTTTTGTGCCTCGGCGGAGTTTGTCTCTGCTAATTCGTTCTTTTCACGCTTTGATTTCTGTTCTTTCGAGAGGAAATTGCTTCTGTGAACGGCCACAGCAGAGGAGCTGATGACAATGACCTCTGATTCAAACGTTATATAATGGTCTGAAAGGTGAAACGACACCGGATGAAGGGAATTTTTTTTCATCTCAGTTATTCTGTTAATGCTTGCTTCAAGGTTGGCGATGACGATTGGCTTCAGCACTTTACACTGTATTAGGAGTGTTCCACTGTTACTGTGGGCACTTTGCAGATAAAGTTGAACCTATTTTTATATGAATTTAACATTTATTCAAAGCCGAGCCGACTGCGTGTGTGTCATCATTCACATTAGTCTGATGGTGTAGAGGCTGTTTGTAGAAAATCTTGTTGGTTGAAAATTGCAGCAACATGTTGTTTTTCTCTTATTTATTCTGTTTTTATTGTATTTAAACAAAAACTGTAGATGAGTGTACACTGTTCAGCCATAACATTAAAACCACTGGCAGGTCTCTTAACACAAAAATGTTCTACTGGGAACCCTTTGGTCCTGACATTCTTGTGGATGATATTGGACACCCACCAAAACAGTGTTGCAGACCAAGCACTCCCCCCCCCGATTGCAACAGCACTCCTAGAAGGCCGTGGCCTCCCTCAGCAGGGTCCTGCACCCTGCCACCCAGCAAAAACTCCTCAGGAATACCTCGACAGGCACAACAAAGAGCCAAAAGCATTGACCCGGCCTTCAGACATCCCAGTCTGATCAATCCAATCCATGAAATTGCCACCACACAATCCTCAGCTGCTGCCCCTGTTCTGGTTGCAGACACCACAGGACACCCCCAGAGGTCCTGTGTCCCTGCCCCGACTATTCAGAGCTGTTCTGGCTGCACAAAAGGGGACCTACACAGTATTCGGCAGGTGGTTTTAATGTTGTGGCTGCTTGGTGATTTTGATTGACAATCGTAAGATCATCCTTTCAAACTCAAGTGTTTCCAGTTTTGGTTCCCATCAAGTGACCTATTTGTCAATGGCTTCTTTGACAGGTTAACAACTATGACGAGGACAGAGAGGAACTCAACCTGATTCATCCTGCCAAGAAGCTCCTGTTGTCTCGCCCTGGATGTCTCTGTCTCAGGGAGCCTCTCTGGCCTGTAAACGTCATCAGCACCAACCCAGCCAGACCCGATCTCAGCTCCTGCTTTCGTCCCTGGGGTTGTCATCCTTCTCATCCACGCAGGTCTGACTACATTTTCATCTGATGTAGTTTTTCCAGTCATGTGAAATATCTCCACTAATTTTATACTAAGTCAACAGATTGGTACCAAAATATGTTGTGGGAGTCTGGGGGATGCATTTGTTATTTTAGTTATTTTTGTTAGACATTAGACAATCATAAAGGGTGAGGTTAAAAAAAAAAAGTTCTTACTTTATAAGACATATTGGTGGTAAAAATAAAAAAAGACTGGTTTATTGCTTTAAAAAACAGACACGAAAGAAGTTAACTGAACATCTTAGACTTCTGGTTAAACAAAACAGGTAATTTAGTGGCATCACTGTGCCGCTATAGAACATTTGTGATTGTTTTCTTGCTCTTCATTGATCAAAAAATGAATAGATGAGAGAATACCTGGCAGATGAACTGATTATGCAGCTAATTTGAAGTTGCACACCTGAAGGTGGCTACAGTTTTTTTACGTTGTTAATTTGTACCAGACCAGCAAGTTTTTAAACCTGCATGTTATCAAATCTCAAATGTTCCAATTTCTCTGCAGTGACTCCACATGTTGAATGTTTGAAACATTTCTAAAGTCAGCATAAACCCTTTGTTGTAGTATGTTATAGCTATTACGTAGATGATAGTTGCGTATACTTAGACTGAACAGACTGCAGATGCCATACGATGTTCCAACCTAACATTAGACGTTCTGATGATTAATTTGTTTCCAGGTTTCATCGTGCTTGTGGCCAGAGGACGTCGGCTTGTTCCCTGCTGAGCGGCGCACTGCTGGAGGCCACAGCCGCTCTTGGTGCCCGGTCTTCTTTACCCTGCCCTTTGCCCCAGTGCCCCAACGGCCACGCTGTACTGAAAGGTGGGTGTCAAAGGTTTCATTTAATAGTGTGTTTAAATGTGCAAAACCTTTGTGGATGAACTTCATGTCATCAGTTCTACCTAGATGGCATTTAGTTGTTTATCCAACAACTTTATTGCTGATAATAGTAACGCTCCAGTAATAGTTTGTAATGCAGCTTAAACATATAGTGTGATAATTAGCACTTATGTGTGCTCATAAGGTGATAAAACAGAGGTGCAGAAACTGGATGACAACTAAAACAGGGACTTTTGTTTGATTCTATGTAGACAAGGTTCCCACTGTTCCCCTGTGGTCTACTCTTTCTCTTACTCTCTGCTCTTTTCCCACATGGTTCCTTACCCACAGCGGGATCTGGGTCATTTGGGGTCTGTAGTTGATCCCAGTGGTTGTCCTTCCCTTCTTCCCTTTTCTCTTTATATCCTTTGCTGTCCTCTCTCCCTCCTCATGCACTCCTTTCTCTTTCTCACTTTAATTTAGCCACTCATTTACACAGGATGCTCAAGTGGTGTAAGGTAGAAGAAAAAGCCTCCTGACATCACAGGTTCCACACAACACTCATGCACACACTTCAGGTTATATCTAAGCATCTGAAAAGAGGCTATATGCACTTCAAACATGCTCGTCTTTAAAGCTCGGGAGTGATATACCTTTATTTATGTTGGCGTTTTCTACATAACAAGCACTTGCAAATGTATTCTTGTTTTCTGTTGTACAGCGCAGCAGCTAGAAAGACATATAAAAGTGAACTGTAAAACACATCTCCCCAATGAGACATGAAAATAAACAATATCTCATCATGCATATGGTATTTCACCTCTTTCCTTCACTCTCGCTCTCTCTCTCCACATGACTTCATCGTCCAGCCAGTCCGCTTGTTGATCGCTTGCTCAGCTGGTAACTGTCTGTCCACCTTCTCTACAATGATGTTACGTATGACTTAAACGTAAGCCGATCCTGACATTAATTTCCACTGGCAGCGAGCCAGGGGACAGGCTGTCTCTGGCAGGATCAAGGAGACACACGCTCAGATGCGCACACAGGCAACACAAAAACTTAGGTTTCCGCGCGCGTTTCTCGGTGACTTGTTATATTATCAATCATTTTAATAGCAAAGCTTTCGTTTTTGCCAGTCTCGCTTGTTGAGGCAACAAACACTCATATGCAAACACACACAGGCACACACGGGGTGCATATCTTTAACATGACACCGTGTTCTGTTCTAATGGGTGTTGCAGGAAACTGAATTGAGCTGGACACGCGCACACATAGCAGCTTAGAAGTCTTGGCAGGACTAGGATTTGGTACACACATAGCATGAGAGGCTCACTGTCTAACTTTCGCTGCCTTTGTAACCCAGTACCAAAGCAACCCAGATACTGAACAGTACGTCTTAACACTATATTCTAGGACTTAAACCCGCATTTTTGTGTTTTGAGAAGCTATACATTTTGGCTTTTTACACACTAGGAAACAGTCTGTGTGCCAGAGAGCAGTGTCTCACTCCGGCTGTGATAATATAACAGACACCCATACTGTTGTTTCAAAAGCTACGATAAACTAATTAGACAAAAAAGAAGGAATGCTTTGCTGATTTGGAAAGTGCCAACTGGCTTTAGTTAATCAAATATACCTCGAGTGAGGCACAGACTGCTCCAAGTAACATTTTCGTGCAGCACAGGTTTTCAGGAGACATTCTCTGTAAGGTTAAAGTAATTATCTGATGTCATAAAAGACATTTCATTATCCCGAAGCTTTGGCGAGGTCTGACTTAAGTTTCAAACTTGGATGGTGTTGGTGTGGATATTGCTTTCCTACCATTTTTGGTGTTGTTCAGTGTTTCAGTGTAACAATCTGCTCCTAATCTTTAAGCATTAGTTTGAAATTTTCTTTTTTCCGGATCGTAGTTATGTAATTCAGTGTACAATTAAACAAAACCCTGCATACTTTTCCATCACTCTCAAATAATAAATATCCATATACAGCCTCTATGATATTGTCTATTGTCTATCCGGCATCTTAGTCAATCATGGGTTTCAAACAGTCATAGAGCTTTAAGAGCACTGATTCACTATCTGTTGAAGAGGTTCCCCTTTCCTGGGAATCAACGGCTATCCTATCTGGTAAGGGTGTTACCTCCAAAGAAAGACCTTTGTGTTGTGTGTCTCGCAAAGAAAAGAAAGAAACAGAAAACCTGATTTAACTTGCTCTTATTTTTAAACCGTATTCTCAGAGCTGTAAGTTAGTTACCTTTTCCCCTGCCAGCTACTCTCAGCGACTTTTTTCACTGCTCATGTAAAATAATAACAATTTTTTAATATTGTACTGCTAGGTGCAAGTTATTTTTCATTATTCTTACGTTACAGGAGTTGCTTTATACTCTAATAAAAGTCTTTCTGATGGCAATTGCATACCACAGGTTGTTTAGGCAGATTTCTATGTTTAAGTCTTTGTTACAAACAATAGAGGTGCTTGTGGCAGCATTTTCTGTACAGTGTAGCTTATTTAGAAATAAGCGATGGTTTTATTTAATTTTCAACGCAGTGCTTTAATAAAATCACAGATGATCAAGATCAGGATTATGAGAGAACATCACCGTTCCTTTTCTGTAAACGCAGTAGGTTTGTGTGTTGTTTCTGCTGTATTAAGTCTGTTCGGTGTGGATTTTAGATGAAGCATAGCAAAACTCAGCTGCTGGCTCTGCTACAAACGCTTTAAAGGATGACCAGCATAATTGTCTAACTGGCCTTGGTGTATTCTTAGAGTTTTACTGTGAGTGTTGAGAGGTGGAATGCTTTTCGAAGCCTTCTCTACGTGTCACCATAGTGAACTGAAAGCATTTCGCTGAATTCTGTGACGTGAATGACGTGTCTTTTGTAGCATCAATCATTGGATGTTAGAGGCAGGTCAGGAGGAACATATTGAGGATGATAAATTCTATTTTACAAGTTGAGGTGGCACATGTCCGGGTCAGTGTGGCAGGCTTTTGTCGTTAGGAAACTACTGACCCCCATAAATACTAATACTGGTGCTACAAAAACAAAAAAACCTGTCAGCTGTGGAAGACAAGGGCAAGGTGGTGTGTGCTGCTTGAACACGTGTAGATACACCAAGAAACAGAGAGGCCATAAATCATTGCTGAACATGGTGATAATTACAAGCAGTTGTTATGTTTTGTGGAGCTTGTCTTAGTGAAATGTTTGAAGCCTGACATCTGTCCAGCCCGTGTCAGCTCAAACACTGCTCATGTTTGAGGCTATGACAGGAGTCGTTTTAACTGATATGTGTGAAAAAACTTATGATAATCTATGGATATGGCATGGGCAAGTCCATTTAGAATAGAATAGAATAGAACTTTATTGATCCCTTTGGTGCAAACCTCAGGGAAATTGTTTATGTGACTGTGTGTTTCTCTGTGCATTTTTTTTTTTTTTAAAGACTTAAAAAACTTAAACTTAAACCAGGAGTCAGGTGCTTATATGACGACTGAAACTGTTGTATCTGGCTGTAATCATTCCTCTCTTCATGAAAAGATCCCTTCCTAATGTGCTTCTAGTGTAATGAAGTAAGGACAAAATCAACCGTCCTTGTTTTGTGCAAAATGTATAAAACCCATCCTGAGTTGCTGTCCTAGAAGAAGCCAAATCATCATGGTCGTCACATCCACCCATACATTTATTAGGTTATTGCTTGCAGTATTGAAACTGGGAAACAAGCAATGGGTTAAAGTAGCAAGCTGTAAAAAAAAAAAAAAGAAAAAGAAAAAAAAAACCCGAAACAACACAAACGATCAATTTAGCTATTCCAACTTTAAGCAGCAAATCAAAACTGAAGAAACGACAAGTACACAATTGCACAATAAGACTTAAGGCAGTTAAAGGAACACATATACATACACAATACATATACAACAGATTGCATTATAATTATAGAATGATTGATCCTTTAGGTCTGTTGAGTAGGCGTCGCTCTTTGGATGGCAGATGTCTGGCATTAAATGTTTGTTTCTTCACCTCCTTTACTCCTGAAGCACGCACAGCAGTCATTTAAATACGAAACAACAATCCACCGAAGACCGCTGGGATTTAGCCGTATTTATGTCAGCTGTTAAACGGGGGTTGTTTTAAGTGATTTTCTTGAGATCATTTCCTTTATAACACAATTTACTGTGCTGCACCGCTGAAAAGGAAGTGGGCAGCTCAGTTACAGGCTGCCATCCTTCTGGCTCACTATTGGTGGGTCTTTTCTCTTCCTTCTTTCTTTCTCTCGCTTCCTCCCAGTCAGGCATTGTACATTGTTTTACACGGCAGCGTTTAGGACCTATTGACAGCAACTGTGGTGGGGAATCAAAGTGAAAGGAAGTCTCAAGGATTTCAAGTAGGCACATTGTTTATGTGGCCATTATTGCTAAATATACTCATCTGAATGTTTTATAATCTGTATTTGATGACACACACATGCACACATGCAGTAAGAATGGAAGCTTTTAACTATATGATTGAAACTATTTAGATGTTTATCTCCAGCTCCACATGTAAAGTACTGAGTAGCAACATACTTTAATTTATAATACATACAACTGTTTCTCCTGTACTTCTGTTGATCTTTTTCTTTTAATAGATCAAGTGATTTATTCCTAGAAAACTGTGCACATCACAGTTTGCCATAGATGAAAGGGATTGTTTTTCCCTTTACAATTAAACTCCTGAGATAATTCAACTTTTCAGTGATTATTCTAAGACATTTATAATTTCGTCATAAGAAATGACTAATCTATTAATTTTCATTACCTCATAGAATCGTTAAAGACACTTTAGGGAAGTGCACTATGTTGTAAACACCTTACAAGAAGTCATCTTGCATAATGGGAAATGAATTGAACTATTATCTGCATAATAAAACAAAATCAGAGAGACAGAGAGGAGATTGTTTGGGGGCATGTGGTTGCACAGAATTGTTTCTGACTGTTAATATGGACACATGAATTATGGCAGTGTGTG